ATTATTATTGTTGTTGTTGTTGTTGTTGTTGTTCTTGTTATCATTTCTATTATTATTTCTGAAAAATGTGAAAAGAAGTAAAGCCTATGTGAATATTTCGACAACAGTTTTAATATAAGTGTTCAACGTTTCGCCCTTAATTAAGGCTCGTTCAGAAACATAATAAGTTGGGGGGGAAACCACCATGTCAACTTCCTCATCATCATCATCACCATCATCATCATCATCATCATCATCATCATCCTCTTCATCATCATCATCCTCATCGTCATCATCATCATCATCATCATCATCATCATCATCATCATCATCATCATCATCATCATCATCATCAAGAGCTGACTGATTAAACAGGACACAAGTCATAACTTTTGTGCTCTTTTGCGGTCAATTTCTATAAAAAAAATATTAAGACTGTAAGGAACTGTACTAACAATATTAATATCAACAATCTAATTACGATTTAAAGAATTGAAATAATACATATTGTTGTTCTTTTATTTTGAGGGATACCTGCAAGGCGTATTGCATATTTCTATGCATTTCTTTGATTCCATAATTTTTTATTAATTTTTTTTTTTTTAAAGGCTGGATAAGCTGCGGCGGTGTTATTTTCTTCAATAGGATGGGTGTTTGGGAAGGAAGCTTACAAGTTCGAAAGTTATGCGTTTTAAAATGTTATGAAGTTTTTGAGGTTCAGTAAAGATGAAGTTTGGTAATGTTCAGAATGTGAATAGCTGAGACAATAGTTTTGGTATGACAGAGCATTTTGCAGGTATGGCTGGTGGCAAACAAGGCTGCATATTACTGCCGTCATTCTTTCAGTCTATGATAATATGTGAGACAGCGTGATGAAATTATGCGCTCGTCATAAAAACCAAAGTGAAGAAACCGGCATTTTTCCGCAGGTTGGTGAATTTTTATCGAATTTACGTTGTTGTTGTTTTTTGTTCAACACATTTCTTGCCCATTAAAGAACACATTTATGAGTGGATTTAATGGAAAAAACGTTGATTAAAGGCGAAAAAAGTAAATGTTCAGTTTCAACGGACAAACTAAGGAAATAACTCATCTTTGGCGACCATTTTCTCACTAATTTTTCCTCTGAAACCAGGTGACCCCCATCTCCGTCATTTGCAAACATCTAGACTTCTATTCAAGATAAATGGACATTTTTTCATCCAAAGCAAGACAAATGAATGACGTTTAAGATGATACTAATAACTCTACATTGCCCAAAATTGACGAGAGCCTGATTCCATCGCGTCGTGACACATGGGCATTTAGAGTTATTGGTATTATCTTAAAGCTTGTCCATTTATCTTGAATAGAAGTCGAGATATCTGTTGTTGAAGAATTGAAGAGGAAGTGGGGGCTGCTTGATGATGAGGTAAAGTCGGGCGAGAAAATGTCCGCCAAAGTTTGGTGACTTCCAGAGTTTGAGCGTCTTTGGAAACTGCAAATTTATATTGTCTGTGCCTTTAATCAACGTTCTTCAGTTAAATATACACAGAAAAGCTGTTGTTTTTTAAATAGACAAAAAAAGGTGTTGAGCCACACTCAAAAAAGTATCTCGAAAAGAAAATTGG